AACACCCAAAAATTGAGATGGTGACATATATAAAATAAGTGCATAAAACATATTAAATTAGTGCATAAAACATATGTCTTTGTATTCTTTCTAGGGAAAATTATAATTTTTTTCTTTTTTTGGAAACTAGTTTAATTTTAATACTTTTTTTAATTTCTTTTATTATTATTTTCTGTTAGATTTGCAAATTTTTTTATAGAAATTAAATATAGAAAAATAGGATCGCGCGAAGCGCGATTTAATTAACTAGTTAAAGAATATTTTTCAAAATTCTATCCTTCAAAATTTCTGACGTTATTTATAATCCGTATCTGACTATCACCATTTAAATATATTTTTATTCTTATAACCAAATAAACCTTCCATAAAAAAAGTTTTAAAAAAATTGAAAAGCGTTTTAAGTTTTAAGATATTTTTATTTCATTCAACCCTTACCATCTTTACTTCCTGTCCTCAAAAGGTTTGTTTTTGGAAAATATTTTAGATTTTTATTTTTATTTTATTTGGCCTAAGTCATCTGCAGCCCCTTAAAGTTGTCCACATAATTCACTTAGACACCTGAACTAGGACTTATACCTATTGAACACCTAAATTATCAAGAAATGTGCCTATTAAACACAAAACGCTGATGTGGCAAAATAAGTGTATCTCACTGCTGCTGAGCGCGTGAATACTTTTTTTTAATTTTTTTTTAAAATATTAATACCTACTTTGTTGACACTTGGCATGCATTGACTAAATATATATAAAAAAATAATTTAATTAAACATAAATCTTTTAAATCATTAAAAAAAAAAACTCACACTCATCTTCCTTCAACCCACCATTTAAACTACCATCCATTCAATTCCCCCAAAATCCCTTATTTTTCCATCCAAAAACAACATGAAGAAATCACTTCTCTTAGCAGCCTCTGTTTCTGCTGCCCACCGCCACCGTCTCTTCTGTATCCGAAGTTCGAATTTCTCTTCACAAGGACGATAATTTGAAGAAAAATGAAGATTGTTCAAAATCGGTGAAAGCATCAACCTACCATTTTAAAAACTTCAAATTTCTCTGTCTTTTGTTATGATTCATTTTTTTTTTCATTTTATGTAAATAAAATACCTGTTGAATTTTCAAGAAGAAGAAAAAATGGACCATTTGAGAAATAGCATATAACGAAGAAAATGAAAGAGGACAACATTTGGTGGATGAATTCGGAATGAGATGGGGTTAGGCATTTTTTTTTGTTATGCAAAGAAATGGTGATTGTGGAACAACAGAGAAGAAGAAGAGAAGAAGATGAAGAAAAAAGC